TAGGTAGCTTTAATTAAAAGGTATGTGGTTATAATTTCATTGTCTGCTTTCTTTCAAATGTAATTGCTTAAAGCTTCACGTAATTAAGTCTATAATATCAAAAAGGGACAGTGTTCCTTCTGCAAATAAAGTTAAAAATCTCCTTTAGTGCTTGAAATATGCAACTAGAATTTCTACAGCTGTAGCTGATGCAAGATTTATGTAACGGCATGAATTCCAGGCAAGCAAACTTGCATGAGAGAATTGATAATTTGTAACTTTTTTTCCTCTGACCATTCTACATGCGGAGTCGTGCATACTAATGTGTCTCATCACCAAAGCTATGATTCTTCACCTCTTGACATTTTGCTTATATCTCATTCTGCTATTTTTCTAGGAACTGAAAACTTCAGGCTTAATCAAAGTTCATATTTGATTGATGAGGTTTTGACATTTCAGTAAGATATTGGACATTTGGACATTTTGGTTAAAACTCTATTGTAGTAGTACCTTAAATATAAAAAGCTTCTGGGACTCTCAAGTCAGTAAAATCAAGGATCAAAGTTATTAAAACTTGGGAGATGCTGAGGTCTTCACTGTGCAAGGGAGATTTACTTTGAAGAAGTAATCTCTTTGATTATTGTTTTCATTTCTGAGTTGTAGGTACCGATAAGTGCTCTGAAATGGTGAAGCACAAGATCATGACTGGATGTTTTTGAACTCTTTATTAGAATAAAAGCATAGTGAGAAGAAAATGCCTTCCAATTCCTGTGAAACAGAAGGAATGAAGTTGGCATTTCTATCAGAGATGTGCTTTGTACTCCCAAGTTCGTTGTGTGTCAGCCTTTTAATAATATTTTGTATATTTGAAATGTCTGCTCAGTCTTCTGCTGGAAGAGGGAGATTTTTCTTTCCTTTATACCTGTTTTGTTTTTGGTTTGATTTTGGCTTTTTTTGTTTTAAAGCAGAAAAAAAAACCAACAACAACAACAAAGGGAAAGGAAGGCTAAAAAGCAGTGTGTGAATTTTGCCATATTAAATATCTGGCATATTCTTAACTCTGAATCCCATGATTGATAAATTGGCAGAAGTTATTAAGACAAAAAGATCTTTTATCCACTCTACCTTTAATACCAGGTAGTCAACCTTCTATTTAGATTTGGCTAATGAGAGGAATGGATGGCACAAAGGGAAAAAAACAATGTTTTTCATTTTCTTAGCATGTGTTTTTTCTTAACCTATTGTTTACTACTTGAATGATCTTATTTCCTATCCTTCATAGATGTGACTTATCTAAATTTCTTCATTGTTGTGGATGTAAAATGGAATATGTACAGGAAAAGTAATTATCAGATGATCCATTTTTGCAAAGAACCGTGGTTTTGAGTGGAAACTTAAGGTTTTCTTAAAAAACAATTCTATGTAAAGTAAAAAGCCAGCTGAGTAATTTTGCATCTTCATTCCCAGCACTATTTATCTTTTTCTAGCTGAATATCACTGTAAGAAAATAATCTCTCACTTGTTTTCGGTACATACATTAAATTTTTTGAATGAATGAATGGAGAGGTTATAAAATAAATGCTGCATTGGTTATGTCTGCATTTAAAATAAGATGGGTTGTAACAAGATGAGTTTTTACAGTTGTTCCTATTTAGGAATCCATTTAAAAATAGAAATCAAAGGATTTATCAGTTCTGCTGTGTCCTGATCTTTGGCTAAGAATATTTTTTCATAATCTGATTTACTGCAGTGGGTGTGCTGTGTATTTCATGGGTGTGCTTCACTCATATTCTTCAACAGCAAATTTCCAGGCTCCATCAGTGCTTCTTTGTATTTTATCGCTATGAAATACCTCTGATTTCTATTTCACCCCACAAGAAACAGGGACAGCTATGACACTGACTTGAAAATCTAATGAACATTGCATTATATGAATAACATTCAATATTTTGAGTCTGCCTGTGTATGTCTCAGGACATCTGTTTCACAGCACAGTGTTTCAGTTTCTCGGTGTTACTCAGACAGCGTGTTAAAAATAAATCCTTACTTAACCAAGTTTGCTTGAGGAGTAGTATGGCTATAGTTGGCTACAGCACCTTGCCTCCTCATTAGCGAGATACCTTTCCCTGGGCTGTTTAGCAGATGATATTGTGAGTGACACCCAGTTTTGGAGAAGGCAGTACTGGTGCAGCTGGAGCTGAGAGAAGAAAGTGGTGTGCTCGAGGCAGGCTTGGTCTTGTAAAGGTGCCTGTAAGTTTTTATAGTGGCTGGGATCTGAATTTGTGGAGAATTGGGTTAAATGTATGTGGTAACTCACACCTCCAAGGCTCTCCTTTCTTTTTCAGCCTGTCTGCAGATGCAGAAAGAGCATCTTGCATACATGAAACAAGTTTTCTAGGCAGGTGTTATCTTCATAGCAATAAAAAAACAGGAACTTGGAAATCATGTAAAACCGCATGATGTTAAGATGTTCTATTTATCCTTTCATAACAAGATAACACGTCTTTTATACAAATTACAAAGTGGCAGTATGCATCCTATCATGACTTCAGTAAAGCCGTAGTCTCTTGGCATAAAGTTTGGGAAATTTGGGTTTTATTTTGAAATTACTATTAAGTGTTATGTGGAAACTTTATTTAGAGTAGTGGCATTAACAATTCTCTGTCAAACTGCTGATGTTTAATTTAACTTCCTTAATTTACTTACATATTTCCTAAATTTAGCTGCAGAGGGAAAAAAATGAGACCACCACCACCTCCCCAACCCCCCCACCCCTGTTTTTAATCACCCCTATGGCTACCACTAGAACTAGTGGGTTTAAATAGTGGCAAGGAGAGCTTTGACTAGGCTTTAAGGAACTTGCAACAGGAATCCTGGATTTCTGGGGTGGATGATTCAGGGAAGTGGTGGAATTTCCATCATGAAAGGCTTTTTAGAACAGGTTGAACAAGCATCTCTGCAGAATAATGTAGGTATAGTTGATTCTGCCTGAAGCCAGGAGACTGCATTAGCTGACCTCTTAAAAGTTTCTTCTAAGCCTATTGTTTTATGTTTATATATGACTCTTTCTTCTTAAATATGAGGTCAAATTCCACTACTAGATTCCACATCAGGTACTCTGTGAAAGATCCCACAGCCACTGAATATTGAGACTCTGTCTGAGTCTTCTACAAGAGAAAAAAAAAATTGTGAGCTGTTTACAGTAGCTGGTTACAGGCACTTTCATTATTATTTGGCTGCATCCTATAGCTTCCTCCTAGCTTGTACTATAGCTTCTTTTAGTGCTGCTGTTGGAGCATCTTGAGGGTAAATTCTAGTATATTTACAACCCTGGATGACTGCTTCTTGTGAAGTATAGTTATTTGAAAACTTCAGGGTACAGTGTACAAACTTGACAGGCTGAGGGAGAATAGAAATATAGACTAGAATAGCCTGGAGGACCAATGAGGAGACTGAGAGCTTGAAGCCTGGGCTTTCTTGGAATTTGTCCTCTCCCTACTTCTAAAGCAAAGAGACTGCTCTCAGTCAGTATCTAGCTGGTACTAATGCAAATCTCCAGTTCTATCCCCATGAGTTTACAGAACAGTATTATGACTACAGATGGGAAATTAAGGTGCAGAGAAAGAGATTGGTTAAAAGTATCGGTTCAGTTTTGAACAGGAGAACAGGAGCCTAGGGTCAGGTGTCTTTCAGAGGATTTAGTGTAACACAGGAATACTTGTCTTTGAATACAACCTTTATTGGTCCTCAATCAGTCTCACTCAGGAGAAAATTAATCACTTTAACATTGTTGTATTAGGACTTTGTTTTGTAGATAAAAAACATTCTATCTTTTCCTTATGAGGCCCTCAGCTGTTAACTATATGCTTCCCTATTGCAGTAAATTATGGAACATATCCATTAAAAATACTGCAGACGCCCTTAATAAGGGGAATGTTGCAAATGAACGTGTTATTAATGATCATGTCGTAATACATAAGCACTGAGGGAGCGAGGGGCCTTAAGTTTATGTGCACAGTTTTGATTGTTTAACTTTGCAGCAAGTTACACCGGGTAACATGGAACAGAGATGGGAGTATCTGGATATATGTGTTTTTGCACTCATTTATTTAAGGGGGAGCAAGGAATTAGAGCAGAAATTTACATGGATACAGATAACTAGTAGCTCTTAGTGCTAGGCACTTTTTTTATAGATTTCATCCCACTTTTTCTTTCTGTTTTCCTTGCTGTTGAATCATCTTGAATGTTGTTAACAGGAGGGAGGGAGGGGAAGAAAAACTATTTTCTCTTTTGTGGCTGCTTTCTAGCTGGAATAGCTGGGAGCAGTTATTAGAGGAAAAGTAATCTTTTGGTGATGTAACTGAGAGAAGAGAGCACATTTCGTGCCTCTGTAGGAAGGTTGCATGTACAGTCTGATCAACACAGCAAACTCGAGGGAACGGGCTAAAGAAATACAGAAAGAACTGACTCTTCAAAGGTTTTTAGCTCTAGTAAGTATATTAAGCAAATGCAGTCCTTTGAAAAATGTAACTTTTTTTTTTTAAAAAAAAAAACACAACACTCTGAGGCTTACCATTTAACCAAAGACTTACAGTTCCACCAAACAACTGTTTCTTCAGACAAATTGCAAAAATTACATCCATCATGCCAATGGGTTGCCTACCTGTGAAGCTTTAGGTTACCTTGCTAAAGTATATATGTATTTGTGATACTTAAAGGTTATGATTTCAAGCATTTAATGTAGCCAAAATTTGTTCCTTCTCTCCCAGCCTTATTTTCAAAGAGAACTAAACCATTTCAGCTGAGGCTTATTGAAAAATTTGTAAATTCAAGGTGCTGTCAAAAAAAATCTACACAAAAGGGCTAAAGCTTTGGCAAAGTTACAGGAAACTGAACAATGGATCATGGACTTCAATGGTTTATGGTAGCAAGCATATATATCTCCAGTTACAGCAGGATTATAAATAATATTACTCCTGTAATATTTATTAATATTCTGGTACTTTTTTTTTTTCTTTCAGATGATATTAACTGTGTTTCTGAGCAACAATGAACAGATTTTAACAGAAGTTCCAATAACACCAGAAACAACTTGTCGTGATGTAGTGGAGTTCTGCAAAGAGCCTGGAGAAGGAAGCTGCCATCTGGCTGAAGTATGGCGTGGAAATGGTAAGTAAAATGTTCAGTGGAAATTGATTTCTATATGTATGTATGAGTGAATATCAATATTAATTATTTCAAATTGTTGTCTTTTTTCTTTTTTTCTGGCAAACTGTGACACAAAGCATGCAATTCCTGACTTTTTTCTGGTTTCTTCCTCAGTGTGAAGTATTTGATGAAATGCATGTGTACGATATGTTAGTGTTTTGTATATGTAAACAATCAGTATACTTATAAGGAAAAATAGGGGGGTGTATTTTCACGTGTGGAAGCCATTTGTTTCAAATAGACATACAACATGTATAGCATGGAGGGTATTTAAATAATAGAACCATAGAATGTTTTGGGTTGGAAGTGACCTCTAAAGTCATCTAGTCCAACACAATAAGCAGGGACATCTTACACTAGAACAGATTGCTCAGAGCTCCATTAAGCCTGACCAATAATGTCTCCAGGGATGGAGGTCCCAACACCTCTCTAGGCAACCTGTTCCAGTGATCCACCACCCTCCTATTAAAGAATGTTTGCCTAATGTCCAACTTAAATCTACCGTTCTCTAGCCTGAAACCACTGCACCTTGTGCTATCATTACATGTGCTAGTGAACAGGTCTTCCCCAGCCTTCTTATAGGCCTCTTTCAGGTACTGGAAGGCTGCTATAAGGTCCGCCCAGAGCCTTTTCTTCTTCAGGCTGAACAACCCCAACTCTTCAGCCTGTCTTCATAAGAGAGGTGCTCCAGCCCTCTGATCATTCTCGTTGCCCTTCTCTGGACAACAGGTCCACATCTTCTTGTGCTGGGGTCACCAAAGCTGAATGCAGTACTCTAGGTGAGGTCTCACCAGGGCAGAGTAGAGGGGCAAAATCACCTCTCTTGATCTGCTGGCCACACTTCTTTTGATGCAGCTCAGGATTGTCATTGAAATGACAATATGGAATCTCAGTGATCTTCTCTTATAGTAAGTGGATGCAGATCACTATCTGTGTTCTTTCCAATCCAGTTTCCTCACTATTAGGCACGTGAACACAACCTGACATTTACAAATGGGTATAAGATTTTTTTCTTTCTGTCTGTATCACGAATAGCAGATGTTATACAGACAGTATTGTGCCAAAATTGGACATAGTATCTCTAGATTCTTCATGAACATTTCTCTTCAAAGATTTGACAACCCTGATTCTGAGTGGGAAGTGTGAAGCAATTTGCAATGAAACTGCAGCATATTGTGCCAGTTGAAGAGTATTTTTTTTCTCTTTAATTACACTGTCTCTGATCCCTCAGCTCGTAAACCTCAAGAGAGGTCTACAAATGCTCTTTCAGGAGACATTTTGGAAAGTAAAATGAAAAATTATTAAAAATATAAATACAGAAAATAACTGGTTGAATAAATGCATTAGTTTTTGTCACGTACCCTAAGTGGTCTATTTTCTTGGTAGTCTCCCTGTGTTGCACAGGTGACAAATCATAGCTCTCTCTACAAGAGAGAGCTGGCATACCTGTCCTCTTGTGAATATGCTTATTAACTCCTCCTTTCTACAGGGAGCTGTAGGCTCTTCTAGGTCACCCAGCTGAGTAATACATGTGTACTCAAATTCAAAGCAATGGGGATTGTAGTTTTATCAGATACAAAAAACAATTTGTGTGCCCCCAAACTTCACCATTTCCTAAACTATATTGATCTAACAGAATACCATTTCATCTAATAATCTTCCTCTCCTGAATGTATATGTACAAATAAGTGAGAGATACTTGATTTTCTTTTTAGAGGGTGAGAGATAGAGCATATGTCTTCCTGAAAATGTTATTAAAATCCATGCAAGTTTGGCTCAAAAAATTACATAAGACTTCTGCAGTTGAAAGGAGAATTACAATAGCCTAGGTGTTGGAAAACATACTTTTTTATTTATTATGTTGGCTTTTCTCTGCTTTTGCATGGCAAAGAGATGGTTGAGGAGTTCCACAAGAGTTGGAAAATAATTTAGGTATTGTTAGAGTGAAGGAACTGATTCTTCTTAGAGCTGCATGGCATAAGTGTTCGGTTTATTTGCATTTCATTTTTGTATTTTAGCGTTTGTTTCCTCTTTTCCAGTTTCTTGAGATGAGTAATAGTTGAAAAAGTCAATAGCATTTGCTCCTGATATATCAGTATGTTTTGTAGCACCTTGTGCTTTGTTAGTTTGAAACTTCCTCCTTTTGCCTGGATTTCTCATGCTATAATAGGAGAAAAAAAGCCAGAATATTCTTCCTCATTCCCCAGCTATTGTAAATACCAAAAAAGTTGGTAAGAAGGTCAAAAGACAGGTGTGACTCCAGGAACTTTCAGTATGTTTCAAGAGAGAATGGATTTCAACCTTTAAATACACCCATTACTCAATTATTCACTCTATTTACATTTGGAATGCCCTTCAGCAAGGTCTTCCTGAATTTAGTCTTAAGGTAGAGGCAAGTGACTGAAAGAAATGGTTGCTTACTACAAGTTTACTTATGCAAACCTGAAGGGGTGAAAGACTCATACCTGATCTTGCAGGGAACTGCCCTACTACGGACATAATCCAGAACTTTGTGTTCTGGTTTCATGGATAGCAAGCATAAATGTGTTTATTATAAACTAGCAGGATACCTGTAATCAGGATTAAAACAGATTCTGAAGTCTGAAATGTTATTTGTTCTAAGTAATGGATGTATAATTCCAATGGAAAGACTTTTGCAATTCTCTTCTAAAACATGGATGTAGTATCTGTGTCTTGGTCTTTCAGAGTGTTTCAGTTATTTCAGACTACTTTAGACTAGCCCATCCTCAAAACTTTTGCTTAAAAAGAAAGGAGTCAAGCTCAGCTCTCAAAAGTCTTTCAGAATTTTTATCCAACTTAAAATCTAAGACAGTTTTTGCAGATAATTACGGATTTATGCATATCTGATGGTTCTCCTCTTAGCTATTAATGAAGAAAAAGTTATCCAGATAATTTTTAATGTGTCATTAAAGTTTATTATTACTCTACACTCGTTATCCTAAATCACCTTTTCTTCTTGAAATAAACTTGAAATAAAGTCTGAAACAGTATTGTGAAAACAAGTATTGACAAATAAGTCTGAAGCTATAACTACTGGGAAAACTTTAACTACCAGTTTTTTGTTTGGTTTGGTTTTGATAGTTAAAGAACAGGTAGTTGCACAAAGTATCTCTTTATGCCATCCTTACTTACAGCAAATAGAAGATCATGCTTTCTTCCTGCAAATTGTTATGGATTTAAAGGATTTAAATTGAAGGAAGGAATGGTGATTTCAATTTTCAACGTGTCAAGTGTTAATGTCCATTTCTTCTTCCTCTTTCTTTTCTGAATCTGCTTCAAGTAGTTAAGTTGCACAGAATGATTAGTGCTCCTTCATTTTTCTTAGTCTCAGTGAGGATGATGTTTCTGTTATTAATTTAACTTTTTTTCTGCCTAATTTTGGGCAACAAATCCTGAATTGTTTTTGTGGAAGAATTGCAAAAGTAGTAGAAATTTCTATCCCATTTCTCTCCATGGCCATGTCTGGAAAATACTAGCTTTGATTCTTGAAGGTACACTATGTAAACAAAGCCTTTTATTTTTAATAGCTTCTAGGACCAGGGCCTTAATTTTAATGGGAGACCAGTCTAACCAGGAGCAATGCTGCTGGCACTCCTCGCCATTCCTCAGTTAGCCCAACCCTGTCCAGACATCCAGTTTCTTGGCACTTTGTTTTCAAGCTTCCAGTCTTTTTAGGTTTCCCTAACAGTATTTCTGTTTGGGAAAAAATCCTGAAGATTCTTATCTTTTCTGTCTTAAAGTGTCTGAACTAAACCATTTATGTGTTTTTACACTCTGTGATCTTTACAAGACTCATGCTGCAATTTTAGTGGATATGCTTCAAAGCACTTGAAAACTTACCTTTCTTTAGGAGTTGAAAAACCTGAAAATCATGTTTTTAAAGTTCCTTTTCAAGGACTGAGTTGTAATAAGCCACTGACCTTTTTCTGTGTACATAAACACTGTTGACTGTTTATTGGAGTCCACGTGAGTGAGGAACAAGAAAAATAAAAGATCTGAATTTTTTAAATCCAGATGTTTTGATTAATTTTTTGTGGGTTTTTTCTGTTGTATTTTTTAGGGAAGGTAGGTAACCAGTCAGCTGATGAATAGAATTAATTTGTAGTTTAAATGACCCTTCCCCACTGAAGGCAGCTAGTTCTGTTAATTTCTATACCTATTTGACATGACAGATTTTGTCAAGACACTTAATTGTATTAAATGCATTGTGAATCAAGTGATGAAAATGTATTGCTCTTTAAATGCTACAGTTAAGTATCCCAAGAGTATCAAGACATGCATACAATTATATAGCTCATAATGCATATAAAGTTAAGTCAATTTCATTATACAGAGGTATATTCTTGGTGTGAATTCCCAAGCTTTCCCCAAGGTATCTTTTCTATCTTGGAATCATTCTGTCAAATGGGTTAAGTATGAAATGGATAACAACTTGTTAGCTGTGCTCTGCCGGGTGGGAAATCCTGTCACTTGGGTTTTGAGGACAGAGAGCATTTTGCTTTTAACAATCAAGCATGCAAACTTCACCTTTTGGTTTCCATCCCAGCCTGATTTGCTGTAGTGATTTGACATGGTGCTGTATGTAGGAAAGCTAATTGAATCTCTTCTAGTGTAATTTTATTCTGTTTAGAAGCTACATTCAAATCCTATGGTTAGTATTAGATTTTAAAAGATCTTTAAAGGGAGATTTTCTTATGTAATTAAAATTTTTTCAAATAAAGGCAAGTATAATTACAGAAACAGTGTACCTTTGCTTTTGAAATGTGTTTTCATTTTGAAATAAAATGTGCATCCTCTTAGAAATAATATATTTGATCAATTTGGAATAAATAACTGCACTAATAGAATGTTTTACATTTCCCTGGAGGAAAACAAAGAGACTGCTGCATAGAACTTGGCCTTTGTTTGTTCAAAGATTTGCCAGTAATTCCACATAAACTTCAAGTTAATGTCTGGCATAGTGTATTGGAGTGGGAGCACCAGCTTGAGTCCTTAGGAGATGAATGTCAATAAAATGATACAGCTTTTAGTCTGAGTGGAAACATGGAGGTTCAAACTGAATGAATTGTATTAATTGCAGAACAAAATATCCATCTAGTGGTGACAGGGAGCAAAGGTGCAAAGATCAGCAGCGTAAAAAAGGCTGTGATGAAGAATTCCTAAATCAGAAATGGTTTTTTGTATGTTTTGCAAACTGGTTATGTACTGCTGTTAACCAGTGAACTGTGTTAGAGTGACAGGCTGGCTTTTAGTGCAGTGCATCTGTTGTCTGTTGGTGCCTGTTTCTTTGACTTTGCATGAGACAAAATATTGATTTGCTACCAAAAAGAACATTCTGATACTTAATGAGAGTTCTATAAAGCTTGGCTTAATTTAAAATAGTTGCTGTAAGTTTTTTGGTCTTGTACTTTTAGAACGTCCCATACCCTTTGATCACATGATGTATGACCACCTACAGAAATGGGGTCCCCGCCGGGAAGAGGTGAAGTTTTTTCTTCGTCATGAGGAGTCACCAGCTGAAAGCAATGAGCAGAGTAAGTACACTTATCCTGTAGTGTTGGCACCTAAATTTCAGTAGATCCACGTAATACAATTTCCTTATACCAAAGCCATTTTAGACCTTTCTTAATGGCACATTCATGTTCTCATATTCCCTTCTCTAGAATGATTTCTACCAGTCTGTTGAGTAATATTTTTATAGTAAGATTGGTTTCTATTCTGCTTAATACTTACCTTTTTTTTTTTTTAGAGAGTGGGATTGTTCTATTTGACCTCTTGTTCTCTTTCAGTTGCCCCAGAAAATACTCAGTAAATTACTTTAGAAATTTGAATCTATTTTGCAAACATCACTGGCAGATGTCTCAGTGGCTTTACTTTCTCAGTACTTCAAGAAGATATATTTAACTGTGATGATAAATCACTGAAAAAGCACTGGTCTGCTTGGTTCTACAGGAAAAGTGTTTATATAAGACAGTGCCTTATTAAGTGGAGCTTTCTTAAAAGACTTTGAATCAAAACATAGAAGAATTTAATGTCTTCTGATCTAACTAGTGTAACTGTACTGAATTTATGAGAAGACTTTGGAGGCTGTGCATTATACACATTATGTCTGTCTGAACTGAAGGATAGAAAGGTATCAAACTGAGACAGATGTTTGTGTGGTCACATCGTTCTTACTCATTCAACTAATCAGACTTCTTCTAGCAACCGAATTTCAAGACTTGACTGAGTCCTTATTGCTTTGAGTTTTTTGGTTTGGTTTATTTTTTCATATTTCTAAGTGGTTCCTGGTTGTTTTGATTGCTGAAAGTAGCAGGCTTAACATTGTATGAGGGATTTTTTAGGCATTACAGAATTAGACATTTTGTAAAATAGTTTGTCATCCTTTGGGCAATAACAATTTAAAGAAAGAAAAATTTGAGAAATTTAAGATACACCTGAAGTCTTAGGATTTCATGTACAAGGAAAATGTTGCTTCTGAATCATGCATGCAAAGCTTTGTAATTAATTGTTGACCCGTGGATCCATTTGTAGATTAAAATCATTTATGTGGCACTGGAAAAGCTTACTCTACTATGTTAATTTATATTGTATTCAGCTGAAGCTACTGCTTCTTGTGGACACAGAAATACAAAACTTAAGTAGTCATGCTCGGTACATTCCCTTTCATGGCATGATTGGCTAAACACAAGTCAGAAAAGTAGAGCTCTATATCTGTACTTTTTAACAGAGAAAGATTGTGAAGTAAATACTTCTTTTGATTCCACTGCTTAAAAGGAATAACCTAATAAGAAAGAATTGGAACTAGCAGAACGAAAATTCACAGGTAAAAGCTTTATATAAAAAATCTGAACAGATTCAAGAGTGAAAACTATTTGTGCTGGAAACTGAACTATGCACTAAGAGTGATACTTTACTTTTAGGTGGACGTCAGGCCCAAAATCAAAGAAATGGCATAAATATACCTGTGGAGAAACGTACAGAGAATGGGGTATGTAAGAAATCCTAAAGAATCAATTCCAGTCATATATGTGAAGCTTTTAAAATTACTGTTTTTCAAGATCTTTTATGGTGTGAATTGGTGGAAAATGTGTAATCTTGTTTGTTTTTGTTACAAACTGAATGGGAGAATATGGCTTTGTCATGAGCTGTATTTTCTGACTAGAAAGAAATTCATTTATATGGTGTGAGAAGCCCCGGAGACTTACTAATTACTGCATTTTCTAATCTGCCCTCCTCTGTCTTATTCATCTTGTGTGAAGAAAAAAACCAGCTGTATACATTATTCTCTCATATTAGTATTGCTTGTCCAGATATCTTTTCTTGTTTATCTCAGTGGTATTGATTAATGTCATAGCCTCATATGTTAAAACGTGAAAATGGAGACATGTATCTATGGGTTGGGATGTTTTCAGATGCTGGTAGAAGAGGCTGCATGCCTGACAGAGCCATCTTTATTCTGTTTTTTATGCACTTTGTTCACATCTATATCTTTTTCACTAACTGTGACTAGGTTTCTAATTTAAAAGACACTACACAGCATAAGCAACTTGTTTGGTGGCATTCAGTAAATCCAGGCTTGAAAATTCTGTCTTTTACAGGTAAAATATAGTACATCTCATTCATTCAGAGCCATTCTGCTGTCTTTACTAAGGCACTATAGCTATAGTTGACTATTTTTAAAAAATCTTAAAATTTCAATAAAAACATTTGAACTCACCAATTCATAGTTGTAGTGTCCCTATGAAGCACTGTCAATTCTCAGTATGTATAGGGCTCTTTCTCAGGATAAAATAATGCTTAAAAGAAGTTTAAAAGCAAACAAATCAGGTTTTTCAAGCTGCAATGTCTCAAGGAAAAAAAACACAACAGTATAATGTTAAAGATAACGGTGCAGATTAAATGATTCTGTGTTTGTGTATTACCTGACAATTGGCATCTAAAATTCACACATACACAAATGCACAGCAACAAAGTTGTACAGAGTGTTTGCCACTCTTAGCAGCTCGTTTTGTGTATGGCACGTGGGCCTAGTGGAAGGAATTTTTTTCCCCTATTCAAAGCAGTTAATCATGTATTGCTTTCTACGTTCGGTTTCTGTAGCAAACACCAGCCGATGCCCTCTGCTGCATGGCTGTTTATCCTGGTTCCATTGTCATATTGACAATGTAGTGAGATCATCATGTTTGAAGTGCTAGGGGAACATAACTCTTTCGTGACCTCCGCTGATCTATTCCCCCCATGTGCCTTGTAGCACATCTACTCCATTTGAGACTTATCTTTGGAACTGGCATGTGCAGGAGGCCTTAGAATCTCACTTCCTGGCAGCACTCGAGTGTGTGGTAGCAGAGCTTTGCATTTAGCTCAATTTGCTGTTGCTTTTTATGGGTAAAGCTCAGGCCTGATAACTCAGGTAAACTACCTGTGTGCAGTTCAGTATATATATTTTTTTTTAAAACCCAAAAGTTTGACCACAAAATTAAAATGTGTTAGGGAACTGATCTCTTTAAAATGTACTTTTATCAGGTTTAGGAAATTATTAGAAGACAATAAAGGAGTTATATTAATGTAAATTGTTTTGGGGTTCATGCCAAAAATTGTACGAATTTTGAAAGTGTATAAAACTAAGATTTTCAATTGTATGAAGTTTTAAGTCAGAGGGGGATGGGGGAAAAGAGGTGGCTTCAGGATCAAGAATTTAATCAGCTTACGCTTACGTAATGCATTAGGCTTATTCACTGTTACTGGCATGCTGACTGTTAAACTAGTCCTAAAATCAGTAGAAACCAATGACACATTGAAGACAGCTCAAAACTTACCAAATAATCTTCATTCAGGTATATTTTTATTATGTGTATTGCATTAATGATGAAATAATGGATTGTTACGTAATATCTGAGTAGATCTGAAAGTATGACATGCATAGAAAACTTTAAGATGAATGTTTCCTTTAATGTTTGAATCAATAGCCTTGGAAAAAAATTATGGGAAATCTGTCTGGAGTTCAATGTGGTTAATTCTATTAATTGGTATTTTGGCATATACAGTAGGATTTTTTTTGTTCTTTGAAACTGTATGTTCTTGATCAGCGATTTTATTTTTTTTTTAATAATGGTTAGCTTAAAATCACATTATATAAATGCCTACATTTCATTAGATTATCTTCCAAATGAAGATTTAATATTAAAATTAGAATAGGCTATGTCTCTTCAGTGTTGTAAAAAGAATACTTACCTGTAAGGACTCATGTGAGAGCTTTGCATAACAAAGTCGGCCAGAAAACGGTGAGATTTTGTAAGTTGACTAGTTCACCTATTCCTGAGGTGACCTTTTTGGGTTTGCTTTTGTTTACAACTTTCATGGAAGTGGAATTCTGCTGTAAGCAGGGCCTGATCTCTTTCCAGGGTGTAGATCTGTGGAGATAAGAGTTACATAACTGAACATACTCCCTTTGCTGGGGAGACTGGACAGTGTCTGGAGAGAGATTTTCTTTTCTGCATCTAGCTGCCCCTTCCTCCTCTTCCTTTCTTTTGCACATGTAACTGCGCCAATTTGTTTTGAACACAAGTTGTTACAAAGGAACTTCTAATTAACTACAGGGAAAAATGTTTTTTCAGTGAGGGTAACAGATACTGGAATAGATCGCCCAGATTCTGTGGAATTTCTATCTAGATGAAGAAAGTTGTGAGTGATCTGAACTGCTCTGAGCAGGGGTTATCAAACGGAGTGACTTCCAGAGGCTCCTTTTGACCTAAATTACTCTTTGATTCTGTGATCAGTGGCCATGAAACAGGGGTCGTGCAGTGCTGGGTCTTGTTTGCTTCCAGATGTCCTGGTGTGATCAGAAGCAGCAACGGTCTGGAACCATCGAGACTGAGCAAATACAGTTGTAACCACTGGAGGTCAGTGGTAGACAGGAGAGGAACTGGTAGCCACTCGTCGTGGTGCAGCTACCAGTCATCAGTAGAAGTGGAGCAGAGATGTACTTAAAGGAAGTCCCAGAAAGAGGACTTACCGGGTGATGCCACATAACCGAGAAATTTCAAAAAAGCAGTTACAGAGCAGGAGGAAAAAAATAATGGGATACAGGAACACAGTGAAAGTTAAGTGTATTAGCCTAAGTAGAAGTAGATACAGATACACTGTATATGATGGCAATAGTCATTTGCAATAGTTGCTTCCTTGAATTATTTTTGTACTTGGTAGTTTACTTGGGGAAAATAAAATGTCAGTTAGTGGTCTTCTGTACTTCTTTTTGCTCTAACATTAAAATTGCTCCCACAATTTAGAGAAACTGGTATCAGTAAGTTTTTTTTTTTCTTGATAAATGTGGACTGAAGCCTTTGCCAAGAAATACAAAGTGGAACCTGATTTTCTCTCTCACTATGAAGCTTGTGTCAAATTCTAGGCTTCGAGTTAGATAGATGTACTTGTCTTGCCAAAATCCTTGAGTAGAATTGTATGTTGTTCATTAGTTTTAACCATTTGAAACAAGTGCGATCAAATAAAAAAGCATTAAATATCTAGTCTACATTTTGTCATATATTTGTTATGATATTACAATTACAGTTTCTAAATGTGTTCTAAAAAGTTTTTGATAAAGGACCTTCAATGTTGGCTGAAAGGTTTTTGCAAGTGTAGTTAGTTGCACAGGCAAAATACTTAGAGGTTTTCTTAACTTTTCAGCCAAACATATAGCAAAATCTAATTGTAAGGAAAAAAAAAAAATCAAAGTCGTGAACTCAGGAGAAGAGAAATACATTATATGTACTTGCTTGACATCTCTCATCTGAAATTTTGAAGGATAAGTAGCTTAGTCTGGAACAGAAGTTATTCTTCAAACCTGAGCTGCAAATTCAATTTAATATAAGCTTGTAAGTATAAAGTACTTTCTGTTCATAACATTTTAAAATGTACTTAGAACAGGCTGTCATTCACATAAGACAGGTTTTAATCAAATTTGTTTAAACAAAGTTGCTGGACGCTTACATTTTATGGGATTAATTATATACTTTGTGATCAATTTTGTTTTATATTTTTAGTTATAATAGTATGAGCTTATGACTAATATTAGCTCTGAATATCTGACCTAATTTGTTTTGAGGAGTCTTGGACATAGTTTGACTAATTGGGAACAAGAAACACTCTTGGAACTCCCTTGGAACATTGCACAAGGGCTGTTTTCCTCTGTCTTCTCCATGTATTTATGTAATTTTTAATCTCTGTCGCTCCAGATCCCAATTATCTATCTAGATGGCTATGGATAAGAGAGACACAGTTTATAGACTTGCAGTATACTGACTTTGTAGTTCTACTGCTCTTCTGGGTATCAAAGATAGTTCTGCTCAACAAGTTACAGGGAACAAAGATGTGTGGTTTGTAGTCTGTAACAGCCAACAGGTGGCTTCCCATTTTTCAGGGGATAAAGGACATAAAGTGCACTATTTACTCAATCGACACATTTAGTTCCCACTTTTACAGGTTTGATTTTGCTTTTCCTCAGGGGTGGCTTTTCAGTTTTACAGCAATGCTTAATTGTGGATTTCATGCATGGGGGATGGTAAGTCCTGTACATTTGTTTGTTTAACCCTACCTATGATACTTATTTTCATATATTTGTCTGGTGAACATGGAACAATACAATTAACTCTTTTCCCTAAATTTTGCAGTGATACGAAGGATGTGGATAATTGTTTTTGGTTGATACTATCCTAGTTGATCCTGAGTTGCTTGGCCCTTATAAAAAGGTAGAACAGTTTAAAATAAATGAATACTTCAGCTGATGTGTAACATTATACAAATTAGCTCATAAAGTAAATGTTACTTAAAGAGTTCATTTTTTATTTTTCATTAAGTGTTGCTGTGCTTTTGCAGTCCTTACACCAGCACTGTAAACTTCAGTGCCTTTTGCAGTTACATTAGTATCATTTTAGTTAAGCCAAATATCTTAATACTAAGTTGTTGTAAGGAAGATGGGACTTGTCCTTTATT